CTGAGTAAGGCTAAGTGCTTTTCACAAACAAGATTATATTTGGATTTATTCAACAAATCTTCTAAATAGCTTCAGCCTGATTTATGGCCCGGGTCCTGTACATGGCCTGTTTTGTGCCTCAAACGTTTCCAATCATCCAGATTGAACAGAAGAGAACACTATTACTGCTCTAAGTTAACAGCTTAATGCTGATGAAGATATGTCGTTTATTGTTCCGTTTAACCTTTAGTTTCCACAAAGAAAATCAGTGGATAGCTTCTTCCGAGGCTCTTTTGGGTGGAGGTCAGAGGTCGTGTTGGAGGCAGTAAAGGTTGGTTGATGTTTAATGGAGCTTGAAAATAAGGTGATGGATGAAGCGGGAGGCTCCTCGTCTCCTCGCATTTCAAAGAGAGAATGACTGGAAATTTTAGTTGTAGGTTTGAGTTCTCAGAAAAGGATGAAAGTTTGTTGATATTCATGGCCGTCTCTGTCCGTCTGAGAGTGTAATCAAAGGGAGGAGAAGAAAAGGGCATAGCTGTAATGCTGGTGGGTCATTTATTACTTTGTCTCCCCTTATAATAATAATAATGCTGCATTGAACTTATATAGCACTTTTCAAGACCCCCAAAGACGCTTTCACACACTCTCACATTCACACGCTGCTAGTGATGGTAAGCTACTTGTAGCCACAGCCGCCCTGGGGAGGTTTGACAGAGGCGAGGCTGCCATTTGGCACCGTCAGCCCCTCTGACCACCAATGATTTAACCAGAGATGACACGGTGATATGTGACCAGCTTCCCTTCAAAGTTTACAGAAACAGAAATGAACTCCAGTTTTTCTTTTAATATAAGATGTATTATGCCATTTTTTCAGTAGTGGTCTCTAGTATAAATGAATGTCTTATGAGTTGGGCTCTAGGGAAAAAAAGCTTTGGCGCTCCTGTTTCAGGAACTAGAAATGAACCAGAGGAGTGGGAAACAGATAACAGCAGCATTCAGATTCTTATTTCCTGATATTTGGACATTTTGCATCTGACTGGGCAACAACAACACAACTCTACCACTGACTCTGTTTGCTTTGCATCAATGACGTTCTTTTACCCCCATAAATAACTCAAGCCTGAAGGAGTTCTGCCATGTTGTTGAGTTGTTAATGTTAACAGTTAGCTTCTGCTAGCGAAGATGTGCTCTGCTTTCTCCTGGTGGTTAAAATCAACAAAGTCACGAGCCAAGATGGCTGAATCCATTAATGCACATTTTTGGTGTGATGTAGATTTGAGTGGCTTTTCTAATGTGAGTGTTTCCCCATCTATTTTCTATCGGCGGCTAATGCACGACACAGGGGTAGAAGACTATTTGCACGTTTAGCCTGCATGTTACTGATCATGTTAAAAACGAAGAAGTAAAAAACAGTTTCTCAAAGAACTCGGTCTTTAAATATTGGTGTTTATATCAAGAGGCTGACTCATTGATGCCAACTGAACAACATTAGAGGTTAAGTCTGGGTCAGAGGTCATTAAAACAGGAAGTTAGTGATCTACTGCTGAATTGTGAGCATTACAGGGCCTCAGGCGGTGCCTTAACTGTGCTGGGATCTGACAGATGGGCCAGAATTAAAAACAAGGTGGGTCAGTTAGCTGCAGAGAGAGATAGAAAAGATGTAGAGGAGAGACACAGTTAACGTAGACGATCTTTAAATAAAACCAAGCTTTGCATTTTGCAAAATGCTTGCATCTAAACATCCATTTTTTCTTTGAGCTTAATCATATCTGTGCATATTCAGAGTTCACCCAGAGGATGCTTTGTGCTTCGTGGCCTGAGGCAGGACTGGCTTTGTTTGTCAGTCAAATGACTAAGTGAAGGGGAAAAAAGAGCCTTGAAAACTGGAACAGAAAATCTAAAAGTTAATGTTTGCCAGGGCGATGCTTGGAGTGTGGGACCATCTGCTCCAAAAACATTTCATTCCTGTTCACTTCCCTTTGAAGCACACATCTGTTGTCCCATGGAGGCTTTTAAGACTTTTTTCCTTGTTAAGGTTCACAGAAATATTAATGCATTATTCAAGATGTTAGTACAGCACCACTAAAATAACATGGACCAGCGTTTATGAACTGTGGCTAAAATAAACACCCAGGAATTGATGGCAGTAGGCATGTGATCAGTGAATATACAACATGGGGCCTATTTCACCCTAATCAATCAATCTCATTGGCTCACAGCAGAGCCACATTTGGTTGACCATTCAATATGAACACAAATGTGTGCATTAAGATATTCCTTGGCTATGACGTGATTACCAAATGTTTTAGCATTAGTAAATCATTTCTAAAGTGTAACACAAACCTGAGCAGCACATATTCAGTTCTGCTCTGAAATAAGCCACTAGTGGCTTCCTCCTCAGCCCCCTACACCCCCCTCTCAGGAGTCTTAGGTCAGAGGTCAGCAACTTTCTCAAAGGGATCCCTTGTCTGTGATCTCTTGACAACTGGAGAGTCATAGAGGAGCACACTTCCGCTGACCCTGAATGATGAACACTTAGATCAGACTCTTTGAATGTTGTTTTAGCAGATGTAGCCACCTAGAGTCCTCTGGTACTCGGTGTATACAGAAAATTTAAACAAAAGGTTTTCTTGTAGCAAAGCTAAGCATTCTGGGATATGGTAGAGCATACACACCTCAGAAGCCAGCCACAAATGAGCTAAGGGCTAAAATGGTGGAAATACGAGGTATTACCTCACCGATACTTGGACAGAAGTGAAATCTTCCTGTTGTTTCATTGTGTGGCACCTAGGGCACAGCACCCTAAGAATCGCTTAGCCTTTAACCCCCGTAGGCCCATTCACTCAACAAGTTCAAAAGTGGTGTGGTTCCAATCTCCAAGTTTTATTTACAAAATAAAAGAAAAAAATCAATTATTCTCTTAAGTCACGAGATTTCAACAAAATTAACCACAGTTGGATCTTACCAGGTTGGTTAACAAACTAAAGGGGAGCCGTGGGCTTTCCACCACCACCAGGACACCCGGGAAACACTACACACCGAAGACAAAAACACCAAATCCCATCACCACGGCAAACAACACACCACACCAGGGGAGGGGAAGAGCACCAACCACTGCCACTGGGAACAGCGGAAGTCCTTTGAGTGGAGGAGTGTTGTCGTCCACCTTAGTACCCAGCGCTAATGGCCCACTTGGTTGTCTGCCTGCCAACCCACTCTCAGTTGTTTGGGTTTCGGCCACAGCAGAGCTCCTTTCTGTCCCATATCTCCCGCAGATCAATGTGGTTAGCTTGCAGTCCATCAGACATCCCAGCGCCATCCCAACCTGTCACTCTGACTCTGTTGGCCCAGTATGCGCTCCCACCAATAGCTCCATGAGCGTTGTCCCAAGCTGACTGCTCCTCAGTTGTAGCCCCTCCTAATGTGCTATTTGAAGCGGACTGAGAAGGCCCAAGCTCCGCCACCCCCCTCAGCTTGAGGTAGGAAGGGAGTGGACACCTCATGCTGATGAAATGGCAGCAATAACTGGTTTTCGATTCCCAACCCTATTCAGTTGACATTTAAATGATTGCAGTGATGGCACTTGGCTAACATCCATCGACACATTGTTCCAGAGCATCAGAGCCATCACAGAGAAGGCCCGATCACCCATTTGTGGACCACATTTGGGTTTCCTTAGAATTTGGATGGCCCTGTTGCTTTGCTGTGACATAATTGCCCTTAAAATGTGGCCTTGGAAGAGCACAACCCCTGAATTTGAAATTAACCAATAACTCAGTCTGTTTTGTATATATTGAGATGTTGTCAGAGCTGAGAGTTATTCATAACATCTCTGAGTGGTGAATGATAGCTATTCAAGTAATGCTTGGGTTTTTTCTTTGAACATCTTTGTTACGTTCGATCTGTGTTGATTTTCTGATTCCATTTTTAGTTTTCTTCGCACAGAGAAGTAAGGCTTGTTTTTACCCTCACTGACAGTTTGGCTACTACTGTGCCTATGTCAGAGCATTGCCGATGTTGGTGGCATTACTACCGTCTCTGTTTATCTATGGGCAGCAGAGGACAATGTTGCCCTCCACTCTACTACTCTCCGTGCCATTCTTGTTGATCACTGTGTCTCATGAATGGTCCAGCGTGTACACTCTTTCGTCCCTGTTCATAGTCCTGGGTCCATGTCTCCTAATTTTATGGCTGATTTTTTGTTCTACACTCTGCCTCTTGTTTGGCTGCTCCTGAGTGTCTTCAACTTGTTTCCTTCTCACAGTCCTTTTTATGTTTTATTTTTCACATGTTGAGTTTGCGTCCTGTTTCTCCCATGTAGGATTAATTGCATAGTTTGCATGTTATTTTGTATATGACTCCACAGTTTTACTCTGATGATATATTGTCTTATGGGTATATAAGTCTTTTTATAACTGTGGTTTTGTTGGTGTGTTTGTTGGTTGTGTTTTGTCATCGCTGTCCTTATTTCCTCTGTAATGGATGGGTTATTACTGGCTTTGATCAGTTTTCTGGTTCTTTGTTCCAGTTCGTCTTTTCTTTTTGTTGTTGCTTGTTGGTTTCCCTTTTTATTGCCCGTGTCGGGTATCCACAGGTTTTGTATGTGTTGGTCTTCTTGTCTGCGGTCATGTTCTTCTGTTATTAGTTTTGCTCGGAGATATAATGTTCTGATTAGTGACATTTTATGTATGATAGGATGTTCTGATGTCCATAATAAATAGTTTTCTGTGTGTGCTGGTTTCCTGTATGTGGTTATGTGAAGGTCCTGTGTCTCTGTCACGGCTTTTTTCATGTCCATGAATATTATGCTGCCTTCTTTTTCTTCACACATAAATTTTATGTTGTTCAGGTGTTCTGTTAGTATCTGTGTAGTATTATTTGGAATAATTCCTAATATGTCATCCACGTATAATTTCCATAACCTAATTTAGCCGTTTGGGAATATTTTTTACATAAATAGATTGGATTTGTTCTGGTTGCATATCGTAACCGCTGTGTTCGTGTGTCTTTGAACAAATTAGGGAGCTCGTGTTTGGGTCAGAGAGAAGGAGCAGCTACTTCCCGCTACTGTCAACTCCTGTGGAGATGGAACGCTCGTGGTCACAACCGACTATGGAGAGGTAATAAACACACACTCCATGTGCTCTTACTGAGACCTGTGCTAATTTGAACTGTGTAAGTTAGATATACAAAGTCCAAGAGTTTTAAATGTGAGATAAATGGCAAGGCAGCTTTATTTATTTAAGCGCCTCGTGATTTTTATCTTGAGAGGTGCTATAGAAATGACACTTCTTCTTCTTCTTCTTCTTCTTCTTCTTCTTCTTCTTCTTCTTCTTCTTCTTCTTCTTCTATTATATAGTACAGTTCATATGTTACACCCCTGAAAACAGGGGGAAAAGAATCACGAGAGTGATTATGACTTGCGTCTCTCATACAGCTGTTTATTGCAGTCAAAATGAACAGAAACATCTCACATTCTGTACTGCTAGATGTCACATGGTGGAAGAAAACACTAACTAATAAACCGAAATATTAAAAGGCTTACTGTACATATATACTGGAGCAGGTTTCCTGACAAAATGGCTGACAACAGCGGCGTTTTTAGCTCCTGCCATTGTCCTACCGGCCATTACGCAGTACAAAATCGAGGCTCAAAACCGCCATGTATATGTGCACAAAACTGTAATATAATACTTCTAACGCTTACAAACAATGGAGAATTACCTCGTAAATATCTTAACAGTATACACATTGGGAATATATCAACCTTTAACCACTTTTACCTGAAAACAGGGGGAAAAGAATCACGAGAGTGATTATGACTTGCGTCTCTCATACAGCCGTTTATTGCAGTGAGGAGAACGCGCGAAAATCCCCTAGTGGAGAATAGAGACACTACCAATCGATTCCAGAAAAGGCTTATTAGCCGATCACTGATGTATAGATTGCAGTTCTCTTAACTAACATGCAAACCATCAATATAACATGACAAATAATAACCTCTTAACCATTTTCTTGCCATATTTACATTATTTCTGTTCTTATATCAACTGATATGAATTAGTATCAAGTGAACAGTTTTATATGCAGCAGTCCTTCTACCTGTCACACATACACATGCAATTCAATGTTCTTTACATTAGCGAGAATAGCACAGACGTTAAAATAACCTGACAGCACACTTAAAAGACTCAAATTAAATACACAAATTAATTTCAGATTTAAGAAAGGCTGAGCAGTTACAGTGCAGAAGGTGCAGTATAAGAAACAGTCATTCAAAGGCTGATGAAAACACAAAAGTTTTCAATTTTGATTTAAAAGTTACTAGAGTTCGGAACCATTTGAGGTCACATGGAAGCTGATTCCATCTGTGTGCAGCATAGTAGCCAAAATCAGCTTCACCCTGTTTGGTTCTGACCCGGAGTTCTACCAGTTGACTGTTTCCTAAAAACCTCAGAGCCCTGCCTGGTGTCGTTACAGGAAGGAGATCCAACATGTATTTTGGTCTCATGCCATTGAGTGGTTTAGAAACTAGTAGAAGCAGAAGCCAGAGATTTAAGAACAGGAGTGATGTGCTCGGTGCTCTGGGTTCTTGTTAAGACACCGGCAGCTGCATTCTGAAGAAACTGCAGTTGCTTCACAGCTTTCATTGGAAGAGCAGTCAAAAGACCATTGCAATAGTCTAGCTTGCTGGAGATGGACACATGAATGAGATTAATGTACAACTGTTTTGATTTTATGACAGGAAAGAAGGATGTGTCTATATATGATGTAGAGACGAAAGTTCTAAATTTTAAATAGTCTAAATGGGACAGAAATTGCAGTCAAATAAAAATCATTGGATTTAAAACAAGTGAGGTGCCGAGTCTGAGCTGATGTCATGCACTGTCTTCCGAATCAGATAAATGTCAGATACTACTGAGGAGGTTCATCCTTTCCTGCACTGATCAATACAAACTCCTGGTCATGATGCTCTACATTCCTGCCCCAGTTTCCTTTCTCCTCCTGCTTCACCCTCATACATATTCAAAATTAATCTCTGACTCACTTTCAGCCTTCAGAGGAGAACTGGAATTGATAAAAAACATTACAGGAAACAAAAACGCTGCACCCGTCATTTAACTCCACATCTCCAACCAAAATATTGTGATTTTGAATAAATATATTATTCTGAAACATGTCTGTGCTCTTCTAATCTGTAATAAAGACAATGTTTATATTTTAATCTGGATTTAACATGTTTGAGACACATGTTCTAGTTGGCAGTATTAAAAAAAACCAATAACAAACGTAGCTTTCATGAATGTGGATTTATAAAGTCTCAATCCTCCCTTTATTCCCCTACCCCTGATATGCAGTTAAATCTTGTTTTTGTGGCTTTTCAGCAAACGGCCGTCCAAATTCTGCTCCAAAAGCCTTCGCTTTAGCCTCTACGATGGTGACACAACAAGGTCAGACAGGCATTTCCAAAAATAGAGGTTCTAGTAGCAAGCATTCTTGTTGCTGTGGATTACGACCAGTCTACCATCCCAACCACCCCCCACCCCTCCAGCTGTGCCTACATCCTCTCTCTCTGCTAGTCAATGTTTCACTGTTCTGCAGGGATGGTGAATATTTGATAGGGAACCAGCAGCAGAATGGAAGTGTTTGTACAGGTTAGTTTCAGGATTTCACACCCCGTCTCATTATTACTAGTCTGGCAAGCCATCCTATATATGTGAATATATAGGATAGATATAGGTTATCTCTGTCAACAACATTTCACTCCATTTACTCTGCATGAGCCAGGCTTCTGGATTACGAAATATTAACTAACAGTTGGCTTTTCGATTGTCCTTCAAAGTGTGTACTCCTAGTTGCATGGCCGTCAGTCCTAAAAATCACAAAGTTCACAAAAATAAACAATCAATGATGAATGAGGGATACACAACAATACAACAGGAGTAAGCTATCACTGCATCAACTTGATGAAGAAATATTAAATCAACGTTGTTTTACAGAAAAAAATCACACGATAATAAATCACAGTGCATTTAGTGCCAACCACAGCCTTAAGACGTGTTGAACGTGCCCAAGACCATACTTATGTGAGCACCTGTGTGTGTACACGCGCTTGTATATGTAAGGTTTCTCTATAGGAGGGTCCAATAGAGAGTGTTAGGGGCAACAGATCTGCCCTCCAATGATGTGTAGGAGATGGAGGGAGCTCCAAGTCCCAGAGATCCAGGAGCTGCCACAGAACACAGGGACCCCAAGGAGATTGCGACCAGAAAAGCCCCCGCCCCCCTCGAGAGGCGCAGAGGATTGCCCCGGGAGGCCACAACCAGCAGCCTGCAGAGCCCCAGGAGATATCAGCGGCAAGCCCACAGGCCCACCTGCAGCCTCCCACCCCCTAGCCGGCCGAGTGCGGGACCCAGCAACCCAGGACCCAGGAGCGACCACCCCCACCAGGGACCCAGCAGAGCCCAGGGACCCAGATCCGACCAGGCAGCCACGGGGATTGATCAGGCAGACACCAAAAATCTTAAACCCCATGACCCGGGAGCCACAAACACAGGCAGACCAAGGCACCACACTCCACACCAGGTGTGGCGGGGGGAGGGAGACGAAGATGTATAGCATCAAAAGATGTCCCAGGAGAAGGGAGGAGTCAAAGGCCCCACCTGACATATACAGTCATACACAAACACAATCACACACTCCCTCCCTCATGCTCACACATACACATACAACCAAAGACTTACAAAAATGCACGCCGGACATCCACTCATGCTCCCCATACACACCCTTTTCACTCTGGTCCCGGAACTGCTGCACAAGGGGTACAACCTTTACCGGTTCCCAGAGTTCGACCCTTTCTGCTGGGGTGCTGATGAGCAGGCTCCCCCGCCCAATGCTGAGCACAGCCAGCCCACCACCCCAGACCCCAACCAGATGGCCAGATCTCCCTCCTAGCCTCCAGCCCCGGGAAGCCAAGCGACAACAAACGTGTGCTAAGACCCCTAGTCTCCCTCCGCCTGCTCCAATATAGTGTTAGTGTGTGTTGATGAGGTGTATTCTATGGCTGTGCATGGTGAGCGGGCAGTGCGGGTACCGTCTGGCCTACGCCAGCTGATGCCACCACCCCACCCCACTTGCACCCACAGCTCTCAGTGTCTAAGTGCAGTTTAAAATTGGAAGTGGGTACCGGCACTTGGGATGAGGCTGAAAAATCCCCCTGCCAAATGCCGTTGAATGTGCTCACTCCCATGGCCCTAAGTGTGTGTTGTACTTCAATTTTAATGAACTAATGATGGGTGTTTCTACCATGCCTGTTACGTACTTGAAGATTTATCATCTTGTAAAAGTTCATAATTAGCATGACTACAAATCATACGCATATACGACGTCATCACAGAATCTCCTCACCCCTAGCGTAGCTGCTATTTACCACACAGACAGATGGTTCTTTCCTTTTGAAGGAGGGATGTGAGGTTCGCTGAACTTACACAAATTGTCCCTCTATTCATCTCCATGTCTGGTCGTCACTTTGGCGATGCACATTTGTAGTCCTGGACTTATTTCACTCAAAACCAAAAATAGCACTTCCCCCTGTTCAAAAATAAGTGCATTATTTGTATCAAAATGCTTATTTAAAATTCACGGGCATCATATGTGAAATCCAAGACACAACACGAGCGGAATTAGAACATAGAGTTTTTAGCCCCATTCCTTTTGTCGTTCTTCTGAGGACCCATGGTCCGGAAGTAGATGGATGTGACTTAGGCTTCCTATACACTTTGTTCTGTCCAGCGTAAGAATCAGCCTCAATTTAAAGCCTCCATCTCTTGTTAAACCTTTCAACAAAAAAGTCAGAAATTATAACTGGATTATATCAGATTAGAATGTTTAATTTGCCTGCAGGAAAACAGATTTAGAGGCATGGAAACTATTAATAATCACACATTCCCCTGCCTTCATAGTGATTTGGTTGCTATGGTTACAGTTAATCAGTTAATCAGCCTCCTGAGCTAGGGATGGGTACCTTTGACATTTGAATCGATCCGGTACTAATTCCCGGTGCCTACGAATCGATACCGGTACTTAACGGTACCAATTTTCGATACTTTTGGGTGTTTAA